CAAAGGTTATTTCAAAATTGAAGCATTCTTCGATCAAAATGAATAAATTATTGTCAATTTTAGGGATTTTTGCACAAAATGAGGGGTAAGACCATTGCACAAAATGAGGGTATAACTTTGAAACTGGCATTTTGTTAAAAAAATTCTGTAAACATATTTTTGTGAATATGAATGGATTATAAGCAAGGCCAATTTGCTTTTTGATGAACCTATTAATGGGTAATACTCATCAGAACACACTGATATATCATGTCGATGAACTTCTTCCAACACATACTATGTCCATTGTTTGGCAGTATGATCCGCCATGAAAAAATAAAACAGAGCCAAATTAATATTTTAATCCTGTCTTTTCAGACAATTGATAAAGACCATATACTGGTGCTGTCTATATCGATCTCCGTAAAGCCTTCGACACAGTACGTCATGCAACCTTGCTGGAAAAGTTGCTAAGTTATGGTATATACGACGTGGAACAACAATGGATAGGAGATTATCTCTTCAATAGGAAACAAAAAGTAACTTTTGACAATACAAGCTCATACGAAGAAAGCGTCACATGTGGGGCCCCTTCCTTTAGGGCTGGTAATCGACGAAATTTGTATTACGCTCACTGATGCTGCCATTATACTATACGCCGATGATACTCAGTGGTGGCGCAAGGGGAGGGCTAGGGGGGGGGGGGCTACAGCCCCTCCGTCGGAAGCATCTAGCCCCCCATCGGAGGAAATTTTAGGTTATTGTCGGAGCAAATTTGACAAAATAACGTACGAAAACTACTTATTTTAGTCATTTTAGCCCCCCTGTCGGAAGCTCCAGCCCCTCTGTCGGAAGATTTCTGACGCCGCCTCTGATGATACTGTATTGTATTGTGCAGAAAACAATTCGAATAAAATAGAAAGTCTACTTAACAGCGAACTGCAAAAGGTTGCAGACTGGCTCAATGAAAATAGCTTGTTCATTAACTTGAAAAAAGGTGCTATATGGTGCTAAAGGTGAAGTGAATTTGTGCTATATGGATCATATCAAAAGCTGTCCAAGCAGCCAAAGGTGGATATCAAAATCTACAATCAAACTATTTATGAGACAAAATCATACAAGTACCTTGGAGTAGATTTGGATAACCATCTGAACCTACGTCAACATTTTGAAAATGTGTTCAAAAAAGCGTCTGCCAGAGTGAAGCTTTATTCTCGTATTCGCGAAAATGTCAGCTCTTATGTAGCAGAATCGATATATAAAACAATGATACGACCATTACTGTTGTACTGCTACCCACAGCAGCATTCCCAACTCAAAGGGACAGTAAACAAGCTACAGAATATACAAAATAGAGCAGCCAGAATTGTCAACCCAAGAGCAAAGATAATGTTACGGGACAGCATTGAAAAAAACACAAAACAAATAGGTGGCCATCGACGTTTTTAAATCATTACATAGTCTACTACCCGAAGACCTAAATGGTTACTTCAAAAAAACAACCCGTGACAAAATATCAACCTTGCAATTTCAAAAGAAAAAACAAAAACTGTCAAAGTCTTTGGAGATGTGCTAGAAGAAACGCATTTGAACCTAATGCATTCTTATCCCTTACCTGTACATCAAACTATCTTATTTTTTTTAATTTAACCCTTTCTTATAATTTTTACCTCAATTTTAACTGCAATGATTGTCAATAAGAATACAGGTCCTTGGATGATAGCAGATAGTCTATGCCTGAACAAGTCAACCTATAAAACTTTGGCAATTCCTGCATCTCCTTCTTCAAAATGTGTGACTCTCTCTCCATCGATCAGCAACAAAAACGGTATCTAATCTCTAAACTTTCCAACATTCCCATCCTTACTACGTGCTACATATTTTGTTGCAAAAAATAAACCATGGACAAATCCGGAATTACATCCTTGTTTTCATTTTTCTCAGTTTTTCCTTTTACCTTACGATTGTTATATTATTTTCTTTTAAAACCAGGCCAGCCAATTGCAAATTACCTTGTAACAGTGAGATTTGTAATGAGTTTAAGTTGAATTGAAAATGAAATGTTTCCATTAATATTATTGGTATTTTTATTTTTGTTATTATCGTTATTGTTTTTGTTATTATTATTATTATTATTAATTATTATTATAATCATTATTATTATTATAATTATTATTAAGTACGTGATTTTTATTA